ATTAAGGTTGTTACTTATCGTGATGACATATTCTTATTTCTATCCTCATTCCAGTTAAAAGCTGACTATGCATGTGAGCTCTATGAGTTCTCAATTGTTTGCATAACAACTTGGAAGCAATGGAAGGCCCTTGTGCTGCCAAGTGGTAAGAAATTAAGACTGAACAAATTCAGTCCATATGGGTTTGAATTTGTCACTAACCATATCTTGTGATATGATTTTGACAAATTCACATGTATAGGAACACATACACCATAAAATATCTAAGTGTCATAAGGTTTCTCTCCAATTCATGAAAATGATTGTGTGGAAACTCTTTCACTAAATAGATTTTAAGGAGATAGCATTTGTGATATTTGCATTCTCAAATTTGATTATGATTATGGTATCCCTCTTCATAGTTCGAAATGTAAGAAATAACAAAGGTCTAAACATTTGAGATTTATTGTTGTAAGTTTTAAAATTGTTTAGACACACATGTGAGCTATCTAAGGAAATGTGTATGATCTTAAGAAGCCTAGATAAAGTCTTATCAAACCATCTTGTATCAGAAATCCGAACTTTGGTAAGGAAGTCAATAAGTATTGATTTCTAGAAGTCCAGTAGATTTTTGGTTACACGTCAAAGCTAGTTGGAGCAAAAGTATTATGCCAATAAGAATGTATTTATTATGCTAGTGGGAGCATAATTATAACGTTAAGTATTGTGAGTTGGCAATGTTAATTATAGAAAACAAAAGTTTCAATTTGCAAAGATACAGGGTTTCAAAAGTTGTTTTGCTATAATTAAGTGATAGGAATCCATACTTCAACTCAAATATAAAAGCCTAGATTGAGATTTTTTTAATCAAATTTAGTCAAGGATATATATGAATGTTATGTTGGAATGGTTCAACATAAGAATATATATATATATATATATATATATATATATATATATATATATATGGAAATGTTAATTGCGTTCTCAAAATTCGATTCTGATTACGACATCCGTCTTCATAGTTCGAATTATGAGAACATGGAAAATAGAAATATTATAGCAAAAGACTGATCAAGTATTATGTCTTTATGCAAGACATTATGAATCATGTCTCATATGCTTCAAGTATAGGATTGATTTCATATGTTATAATATTTATGTATTATGAATTTTCCAAATGCCTAAGGCATTAAGAGGGAAAAAGGACTAGAAGTGGATATGAATAAAATAGTTAAGCAATTATCGAGGACAATCTGAGATTTACCAAAGATTGGTTGCTCATGGATAGTTTGAAGTATAGTGTGAATTTTGAAGGACCATATTGACATATTCTGAAAAGAGGCAACTCTTATTCAAAAGTGATAGTCAAAATGGGAACATGGAATTGTTTCCACAAGTGGAAGTTATTCTTTAAATCTATGTAAGATTAGAAAACTTAATACAAGAATGATGTTCAATGGAATGTACTTTGAATTTGACACTTCATTTCTATGGAATATCTCTCTATTGGAATACTTTATAATGTATGTTTCCAAGTCTCTATGACTTTTCTACATAGTCAATACAAGATGATCATTACATATAGGTTTAGAATCTAATAAATTAAAGTAAACGACAAGAATTTGATAATCTTACATTTATGGCAAGGATTTGGAATTGTGAAATGAGCATCATTGAAATGTTGTCAATTGACGTATTTCACAAAGGATCATTGATAGACATACTGTGCATGCTTGGAGCATAGGACAAGTATTGTTTTAATTCAAGTATTAACTTGATTATACGATACATTATAGAATGAATAATGAGTAATCAATATGGCACTCAAAAGTTTTGGGGCCACACAGGATTAGTATTATTCTTGTGTTTTACTTTGCATGTTTTGACCTCCTGAATAACAAGGTTATTCAAACCATCCATAGTCGATCATACTTTGGAAGTAGGTATTGAGGCAAGACTGTCATGAATGGGTTTGTAGTTTGTCTAGGTGTTTTAGACAAAGATGTAGTGTTCATGAGTACTCCTAGAATAAGATTCGAGTATTGGATTCATCCCACACTGATCTAAATCACTTCATTTATTTTATTACGAGTGATTGTGAGATGATAATATCTTATATTCTTGAAACAGAGACATGTGGGTTGTAGTTCTGAGTCGGTTGCACAATGACATATGTAAACGCACCAGTAACTTGGTGTTATAAAACATAGAGTTGTGTGTAATTTGATGAGTACGTACAAGCAAGCATTTGGGTCGAATTTTATCCGTTCCTTTTACCCCCATGTGTTTAAAAGCGATATATGTGGGCCCCTCGATGATTTAGTGATGACAAACCTAAGTGCTTGGCCAAGCCTGGACTGATTTGATTTGTTCAATTCGTCAGTCGTCATAAATCGGAAATCAGGAAATAGTAGATGGACAAAGAGAATGATTATAATCCATGTCTCAGTCCATATGATATCTAGAATGGATAAATATATGATCCCTTATCTAATGGACGCATCATTGACTAGGTCAGAGTTCGATAATGGCTTTTAAGAGCTATGATTGCTAGTCGGGATTTTCGAGTCATACTTGCAATAATAGTTATTAGACTTATCCAAGTAGGAGACTGTTGGATTACATGTCTAAGCCCATAACTATAATTGGTATGTATTTGACCCGAGAGTAGCATGGTCCATTTGGTTGCATATCGCCAGGACAATTTGATAGGATGGACATTTGAGAAGAGGTTAGTTATGATTTGTTAATATATTATAAGTTCTAATATATTAACATGAAATTAGATTATTTAATTAGTATTCATCAAGATTTAATTTGGAATTAATTTAGAGATCAATAGAGACTAATTAAATGTAAGGGGATTGATTGGTAAATCATTCATTCTTTTGGTGTAGGCCAATGATCCATGATTCCTTAGGTTGGGCTAAACCAATGTTACAGCCTATGGATGATCCATGGGGGTTTAAACCCATGGATCCTAAGAAATATGGAAGTCATACACATTAGGGATTACATGGTGTAACCCTAATCTTGCCACACTATATAAGAAGCCCCTTAGTATCCGAAATCATGCACTAGACGTTCTAAGCATTCATGAGCCGATTTGAGTGTGATAATATTCCATCAAAAGTCATCCTTTGTCCAAAGGTGTGTTTTGATTCCATTTGAGGTGCAACACTTGGTGCAGTAAGTTCACAAGGCCAAACACAACAAGTTTTACAAGTCACAACCAAGAGGTAACTCCATAACTCAATTCTATCTTGTTTATATCATTTTGTATGATAGATGTAGGCTTAATGCTTTGGAAACAATATTGCATGTATAATTAGAGAAAACGTAGATCCAAAACATTTAGGGTTTTATGTGCACCATAGGATGTTGTAGTATACCAAAACCCATCAATTTTCTATATTTTGTCTTGAATTCAACTTCTATTGTTGTTCTTATAAATCTCGTAATTAAATATGTTTATTCCACATCTATATTATTGTTGAGCTACTTAATATGCTTATGATTAAACTTAACCGTTTTCACAAGTCTTATCTTAAAAAATTTTCTAAAACATTCTAGTCATCATGCAAAGAGTGAATCACAACCTTTTATCTAAACTCTTATGGTCTTAGAAATTCATCAAAATAACCATTATTTGATAGCATCCCGATTTAATGAGTATCCACAACCTAATTGTTTAATGACTATTTCCAATTAGCATGTTTAAGAATTGTAACATCTTTAGAAAAAGATTTATTATAATAAAGCAAATACCTATGCTTGTAATGTAACTGCTGAAGATTTTGAAATTTTTGATATTATAAAATGGTGTAAGGGAAAAAAAATTTAGTAAATATAAAGTCATAGACTCATTACGTGGTGTTTTACTAATGGTCCAATCTAATCTCATAGCTTCATAATCTTTTTTTTTTCTCAGGACGTGTTCGACACAGAGCATTTGGTAGTGTTTGAGAGTTTCAAGTTTCTAGTGTTTTACAAAATGCTCCGTTTTAAACAAAATGACTCATTTGTCACAAAAGATTTTAGCATTTAGCTTAAATAAAATGCTCCAAATTTAAAAGCTACTTCACGTAGTGTTTAACAAAATGCTACCAGCTACTTGCTACCAACTAGTTTTTCCAAACACTCCCTTAGTAGCATGATATTGAGTGTTATAATAGGTGGACATTAGAATTGATGCAAATATACATGATGCGATAGATAACAAAAGCAAAAAATACTCAGATTTAAAAACATTTAACCTATGAAAAAACATATTTTGTAAGAGTAAATGGAAAGAATATCAGCAAATGTTTCATCATCTTTTTATATATCTAATATCATATGATAAATGAATAGTATAATTTGTGGATTTTAACCACAATAGTTTATTTGTATTTTTACTTTTGGCTCCAAGAGTTTTTAGTGTCAAAATTTGGCCAAAATAATTGTATATATTTTTAGTTTTCATCCCAAGAGTTTTTGGATTTCAAAATTTGGACACAAGACTGTCATATATTGGGAAATTTGATCGATATACTTTTTTATATCACCATGTTTGGCCACAAGACATTTTTATACTTACAGGTTTGCACCTTTCATTTTATAGTTATGCAAGCCCCCCCCCCCCCCCCCCTCCCCAACCTTTGATGGAAAAGAAGGGGTATTAACTTAGGGAAAATGACGTCATAGCCCTACAATGTATTCCACATTTTCATTTTCAATCCTTTATGTTATTTTCATGTATTTTAATTGAAGAAAGTTATATGTGACCTGCTCATTTAGTCATATAGACCTTATTTAACTAGTTACTAGGACCATGTAACCAGTTTAATACATATAAGTGTCTACTTCGATCAATTGACATCGTTTTAATTAGAGACTCTTATTAACCAAGCTTAGTAGGACTGGTCATAACCCGTATGCATTTATAACTCCTCTTCATGCCCTAAAAGCATCATCCCCAAAAAACTTGTTGCCCTAATTAAATACATAAGTTAATACCCTAACTATGAAGAAAATGGATGTCTTCAACTCCCCCCCCCCCCCAAATTAGCTGGTCATTTAAAGATCGCCGCCACCTCCCTACAAATGGGTCAAATGGAGCCCAACCTGAAGACCTCTCCACAACACTACTTCAAATGCAGGTAGACGTCTCTATGATCAGGGACAAAGTTAATAGGTGCTTATTTAAGATTAGGGATTCCTTATGTCTCGAGATGGATGAGCTGAAGCATAAATTAGAAGATGTGAGGGCAGGCCAGCTTGATATGTCCCACATGATAAACGAGCTTGAGAACCATATTTTCTCTTTGCAACCAACGTATGTGAGGACCACCGTTCATATAATGGCAATGAAGAATAAGTTATGTGTTTTCACAGGTGTGTTTGTGGTCATAGCTATTGTGGGTGTCGTGCTAGCAGCCAACAAGTACTTCTAAAGAAAGACTACTTACTTTTCTAGGTTTGGGTTTTGCTTCTTTTAGGGTAAAATGGTTGGTTTTTGTTAGTAGATGCTTCGTTTGTGTGGTATGATCATTTTTGTATTTAGTTAGTATTTTGGTTGTCCATTATTCCGATATATTTGTTGGGTTTTGAGCAATCTAACACTTCCTAAGTGTTCATGCAACCCTAATAAACCTTGGATCTATGTTTGTCTAAATACATGCAAAATAATAATTTTTCCAAGGTTCATAACCTATCTAACATGGCATGGAGTACTTTTAAACATAAAAGAGTTAGATGAGATTACATACCTTTTGATGATGAGTTTGATTTCTAAGGAGTTTGAGGGCCAAGCACCAATAGTGTGAATGCCTCAAATGGAATCACAAATCACCACAAACTCTTGGAAAACTTTGAGAGAGTGTAAACACACTATAAAATCGGTCACACACAAACACACATACTAGTTACACTAGTTTCACTAGTGGCTATTTCATGCAACATAATCATGCTTATATAGTGTACATGATTAGGGTGAAACCCTAATAACCCATGACCTTTCCTTTCCAAGGATCCATGGGTTAAAAGCTCCATGGATCATCCATGGACTTCCATATAAGCCTCGCCCGTTAACAAAATAGCATTAGCCCACACTATATAAAACCAATAGCCCATAATCTAATTAGTATTCCTTTTAATCTCTAAATTAATTCATAATTGCTTTAAGACTAAAACTAATTAAATAACATAATCTCATATTAATATATTATAACTTATAATATATTAATAAACATAAGTGTATAACTCTCATAAAATTATCCATAAATAGTTTGGATGAGATGCAACCCAAATGGACCATGCCGGGTCGGGTCAAGTATATACCAAATAAGTTATGGACTTAGACACCTTATCCAACAATAGTATCTTTTTGTGTATGTGATATGAAACAAGGATGCCACTATGTTGGCTATTTATTGATACTTAGTAAGTAAATGGTGTAAGTGTTCATATAATTTCGAAACCAAAATTAATGAAAAACATATTAACTTAATCTGAGTTTTGGTCCCTTATTCTTATTTTAAGAGAGGTCACGCTAATATGTAGGACCCGAATTACACACTTGTGCATCTGTTGTTGAAATTAAGGAAAAACATCATTTGTTTCATATGAAGTGTTAGGACCACCAAAATGTGTGAATCTTGTATGGTAAATATGTTAAAAGAAAAAGACAGTAGGGCCCTCGAACCCCCTATAAAAACACAACAAATACCCATTTTGCACATGCACAAAAACATCTAAAAATGGAATTAAAGCAAAATAGGACCAAAACCAAAATCACTGTTGCAACTAGGACAACAAGGTCTATAATGTAATTTTTTTTCGGATTTAAGGGGTGGTATCCCTTTTTAAGACTACATAGAATTGGTTAGGTTTTTAGCAGATGTGGGATAACTTTGGTCCATTCAGGGTCTCTTTTTGAAACATGTTTCACAACATTTAGACTAAAACTCATAAAGGAGAAAAATATCCCTACACTCATTACTGAAGTTTTAAGAGCATAAAAAATGACATAAGTACCCATACACTCATTGTTTCAGTTCTAACAACAAAATAAATGCCCCTAAATACCCATGCATTCATTTTTTTCAGGTACAACAACATAGAGAATGACATAAACACCCACACACTAGTTGTTTCAAACATAACAATATAGATAATGACATAAATACCGATAAAGTCATTATTTCAAACATAACAACATAGAAATTGATGTAAAGTAACTCATCACTTATTGTTTCAAACATAATAACATAGAAAATGGCATAAATATACATGCAATTACATAAGTAAAATAGTAGACAAATACCCTACACATAAACACTACACTTGCACTAATCCAATTCCATAGGCTTAGTTGCACTGCTACCTTCACCTTCAACTCTTTTTCCAGCTTCATTTTAATGATTCTTTCAAACTTCTTCCTCTTCCTTAGTTGTTGTACTTCACCAACATGCACTTCTTCCTCTGCTATAGCCCTTTCTATGTTTAATGACTCTTGTGTTTATGTGTCAATGATTCTGTTCCTAACACAAGTTTTAGGAGGCCTTTCAACTTAACTACATGTGGTCTTTTTGTGTCCTCCTTGTTTGTATATACCACAGTACAAGTTTCCCTTCTTTTGATACAATGTGTCTTCCAGTCCTTTCAAAACAATGTCTTCTCCTCTTGAAGGTTTGTTTTCCAGGCGTCCTTCTGTTTTTAGGGGGACAAAGGAAGGATGTGTTCTATTGGAGGCCACATATTGCTTCCATTCATGCCATGTATGGGTTTTTGTATGAATTACGGTAGAAGCCTGCCACATATAATGGGTCTACATTTGGTGCATCATGGTTGGAGTTTAATAATGATAATGTTGCAACTAAATGCATACAACCACAAATATTCGATTGTTATAGCCTTTATGTGCATTCCTTCTAAGGCACATCAACAACATAAGATTGGTCCACATTTCTTTTTTCAAATTTCATCAAACCCATCAAAAAGTAACTTACCAATGCCTACATTAATGCAAAACAAATGGGACAAATCATTACATATGATGAATATTTATTATGCTTTTAGTTTTATAGCTACATACGATTGTTTAAGTTTTAATAGATGCAACTTGTCTCTAATGTATGGATATACATTCAAACGGTTCCATCATTGTCTCGACACTTGCATATTCACCATTCTTTGCATGAAATAAAAATGAATGTCTTCTAACATACTGATAATGGGTTTCATTCTAGCATCCAGTAAAAAACTATTAAAATCTTCGAAGTACCCATTCTCCACAGATTTACAAGAGTCATGGTGAACTTGGAAGAAAGCTAAAGATGATGTTCTTGGATACATCTCCATAAGATGAATATATGCAAAAAAATTTAAGTTTTTAATCTCCTTCGTGGCTGCATTGAAATGCTCTTCAATAGTGGCTTTATTTGCCATTAAGAAAATGTTCTCAAATTATTCTCCAAAAAAATTCTTTTTAAAGTTGACATAGATATACCTTGCACACTGCCTATATTCCGTAGCCATTTAAGAGCTCCTTCACTATCACAACCAATGCATACATATACATAAGCACATAATAAATTTAGATTGACAAAGTATGTATTACAATACACAAACAAAATGTTCCATACCTTGTGTTGATTAGATATTTACACAAGCCCAATTCCTTGACATAGAAAATTCAAGTCTTCTAAAAGATTCTCAATAAGCCACTTCCAAATGTATTTGTTCTTTACACTTATACCTACTCAAGTCATAAGGGAACTTCTATCTTTAGCACCCCTACCTATATCACAAAGTAACTCACCCTAACAATAGTTTTTTACGAAACAACCATCTAGGTTAATAATCCTTCGACATTCTGACCTACAACCCTCTTTCACTCCATGAAAAAAAGTAAATCTGGATGTAGTAATTTTTACCACTAGGCATTGAATCAACAGAATTTTTTTACAGTTGAACCTAGATTTGATCTTTTAATCTCCTTACCATAAGAACATAAATTGACATAATTTTTTGCAACTATACCTTCAACTAGACTTAAATCATATTTCTTGGCTCTCATACACTAACGCATACTCACTTCAATATCAAATGTGTTTTTCACCTCCTCTCTACGCAGTTTAAAACATATATTTTGGTTGTTAGAAATTCTTGAGTGAAATGGGTTCCTATACATCTGTAAGTGACAATTGACTCTAATTTGAAATTCCTGACACAATTATGGTCACCTATAAGAGACTTGATATGGAAAGACTAATCATCACTCATCCATGACCCCTAAAAGTCTAAATTTACAGCTTCCATTGCAACATTTAACTAACAGTCATCTATTATCATTTTCATAAAACATAATTGATAACAATTAGCAACTGCATAATTACATAACATGTGTTAGAGTTGTTCAGAAGTCTTACAACTCATACCTAACATAAGTTGTGTTGGATTAGGTGTCTAAGCCCATAACTATAATTAGTATATAATTGAAATGATACGAGCTCTGCCCTTTTGCATTGCCCTCAAACCAAGCAGTAAGAAAAGTTGACTTTTAGTGACAAGGATTAAGTTATTTTGTGATAAATAAATTGAAATAAATAGTTTATTATCATATTATATAAGTAATATATTAATTAGAAAAGCTATTATTTAACTAATAATTGTTTAGAAATTACTTAGAATTAATTTTGGGATTAATGGAATTAATTAAAAGTACAAGGTCTAAAGTGTAATTTTTCTATAACTGAACAAAAGGCTGTAGAACCTTCCAATCTTAGTGGTGGATGGTTGAAAGAGGATATGCTAGAGTTTTTAGAATATCCCATGTGGATAAATAACGAATGAGATAAATACCAGATTTGAAATATTAATTTAATATTCAAATTAGATTTATCTAAGGTTTCCTTGTACGGCTATATAAGGACCCTAAGCCCACCTAATTTCAGCCACTCCTTCTCCTCAAGGGATAGCAAAGATTCTACTATCCCTTCTCCTTTCTCTATAGTCTTCATTCATGCTAGTTTGGGTGTGAGCTATTAGAGGCACGACAATTTTGGTGCGTGCTTCCAAGAGATCTACAAGTGAAGAAAATCTTGTTCTTTACTATAATAACAACAAGGTATGTAAACATAAAACCTTTATGATCTTTTAAATATACCTAGGGTTTCTATGGTTTCTTATTTTATGTGCTTAGTTATAGGTTCAATAGTTAAAACATACATCCTTAGGTTGCATGTGAACTTAAGGCTTTAAAGTTTGTTTGTTTTACTTAGAACCTATCAGGTTGTTGCTCCTTCCAAGGTTGTTGTTCGTTAGAAATAGTGAAGAAATCAATAGCAACATCAACATTTTCAGCTTCATTCTGACCCATGTCAGTATCAAAATCTTCAGGCTCACGTATATTCTTACTAATCCCACAATTTGGGCCATTAACTTTTTTGAC